TAAACCTCTCCCTGTGAACGTCCTTTCTCCTTCTGACTTACCACCTGGGAATCGAACTTTCGCTATTATTACAGCTTATGCTCTATTTGAAAAGAAGATGATCATGAGATTGCTGGGACAAACTTTTTATTCGCCTGATGTTTTGGAGTCCATCGCGGATTCTTCATCAGAGACAGTAGCATAAGCAGTAGCAGAAACTTCAGGCGAATAAAATTCTTGCCTCAGCGATTGCTTCTTCTTCTTCTTCTTCTTCTTCTTCTCATTTACCTCCTAGGACTCGTATGACTGTTTGTATTATGCTCCATTTACCTATCAAGTTTCAGTCTTCAAGGTCGATGCTTAATTAGACAGTTTATTTTTTTCTCATTAATAGGTAATGACCGGGTGCACTCGAATTAGAGGTTAAGAAATTCAAGGACGTCAGTAAATTCAGTGAATCTTGTGGTCTTTGCCTTGATCAAATTTCTTCCGGGAAAACAAAGCGTCAACTTTTATTAGTGTTAAATTTTTCCACAACGCGGAATTCTTGACCATACCGGGCCGCGATCAGGGTGCTGGAGATATGAGGTGGTTTTGTTGTCGAAAAACTACATGCTACTTTTGTCAGCAAAACATCTGGACTACGAGCAAAACCAACTGTCTTTAGTAATAGTCATCCTCATCCTTTGTTTACACACAGTTGATTCTGGTGAAACATATGCTACCCAGAACTGAACCACTCAAAAAGCATTTGTTTACCTAAGTAGCACTCATCCACTTTACTGAGAAGCACGGTAATACAGCCCATGCCGAATTAGATTAAAATTACCGTCAAGTATGCCTCTGCAAGTCAGAAAAGACATAGACCCACATTTCAGTGAGTTTCTGTCTTGCAGATCAAGTCAGAGTATTTCGCAACTTTTCCAAAATAACGGAAGCTTAGTAGATCTTAGCCTAGGCTTCAAAAATAAATACATAGATGTGCATGCGCATGTCCCTAACTTTCCTACGATTACATATGATTAAGGATTATTGACAGAATCCAAAACGTCAGGAAACAATAAAATTCCTGTTCCAGTGAACGCATCTTCTTCTTCTATACATAAATGTGCCGATTGCGACTCGCATTTAGCGCAGAATTAAGTTCTTGAGGGCTAAAATTGTAAGGCATATCTCATTAAGTAAAAAGTGTATGCATACGGCCATTTTATGTTTACATAGTAAGCTAAGACCGGCAGGGATTCCTAGTGGGGTCGCCTAATGATAGCAGGTGTTGTTCTTGTCGTTTTTTGGTTTATAGATTTCATTTGCTAACCAATAGGAAATTTTCTGATAGCTTTCTAGGTCTTTTTGTTCTTTCCGCAACCTTTTAGCCACGTTTTAGTTCAGTAAAACAATTACAACCGGCTTTACTTTATTTTATACTGTACACTTAACACACATTAAACTGGGGGAGGCCTAACGACCAGTTATTACGCTGCCTCGATTACTCATCCAACGGTGCACTATCAATCGGTACAAGCCGCGCGAGTGATGAGATCGATCCAGCCGCCGGTCATGATTAGTGTTCTGCCCAATCACTCTCTCCAGTCCGACAGTCAGTCAGAATGTTAACCCTCAAGAACACAATTTGATTGGTCCAATCTTGTATGCTTGCTTTTACTAGTTATGGAAAAAGACTTCTACTTTTGTGTCCTTCTTGTTGTGTTCTTCCTTGGGAACTTACGCAAGACGTGGTTAGACGGCAATATTACAGTTTTGGCTATATTTGCAACACATTAACTGTTCATTAATCAAGCACTTAACGTTCAATCACGAATTACATCAAACCCTTAGGCTAGGAGAAGTTTGGCATTGAGTGGCAGTACAATGCCTCCGTACTCGTAGACCTTTTCTTATATGTAACAGAGCAGCGTTTGGCGTAGAACGTACATCCCAAGTCCATTTTATTCTGCAGCAGTTAGCCCTAACTGTACTTCGAATAGAAAGACTCACCAGCTATCCGTTTCACCCATAAGCTTAACGCAGAGCTGTATTTTTTTGGGAAAATAGTTGGCTTTTATTTGTAGTTTACTCAAATTTACTGCACACGCTACAAACTGGCAAGAAATAGGCCTTTGGTTTTTTCCCTTTGTCGGCAAAAATGTTCATAGATTGAATCGCAAGGTTTAGAACACTTTAGGCCTGGAATATAAAAGTCTGTATTTGAGCTGTGGTGCGTTG